ATATATATATATATATATATATATATATATGGGCAGATAAACAGTATACTGTCACAAAACCTTGTATCTCCATTTTTGTCATTTTTAACTCCAACTGCTCTTTGCATTGTGTTAAAATTTCAGGATGACTGAATATATATACACACACACACACGTGTATATATATATATGTATATATATATATATATATATATATATATATATATATATATATATATATATATATATTAATCAGTTTCTCTCTGTTTCAAGAACTCATTGAGTTTGGGCATAATCACCACCTCTACCTCTGATTTTGAGGACCTCAGTTCATTTAAGGTGTTCTGGATATGATTAAGTGATTCTCTCATCTTACAAGCGAATTTTCCTGCTTCTGATTCCAGTTCATTCTCTTGCACTGTTGCTTGATTTCTCAGTTTATCAAAGTCAGTAAGTGTTTTGTAATCCTCTGACTTAAAAGCACCAACTAAAAACTTAAATGCAGTGGTGAGACCATTGATGAGGAAAATAAATGGATTTAAAATAAAACTAAAGATAAAATGCAGAGCATTAATAAATGTGCTGTTTGTTGCTGTAGCTAAAGTTCGTTTTCCTTGATCTAACACTCGCTGTAGGTCCTCTGACTTACATAGCTCAGCAAGCTCTGATATAGCATCTCCATGCTTTTTCAGTTCTTCTAACTCACACTGTAACCAAGAATAGTGTTCATCATTTTGATACTGCAGTATTTTCTCAACATTGTTACAGATGTTGTTTAAGGGACTGGTGACTATACCAACTGTTGTGTTGAATTTCTTCAGATCTTTTTTAATTTCCTCTAGTCGTTTCTTTACTTCTTGTTTGTTTAAGTTGCCTCTGTCTCTTGTTTCTCCAACAGCAACAGCTCCAGCCCTCTCTGCAGTCACTAGCGTGGAGCTGAAAGCACCATCAGTAGAGGGACCCAGTAAGACATGTGCTGCTCTAAATACAGTTGTTCTCCATGCTCTGCTTCCTTTAGCTTTTGTTATGATGTCATCCAAATAGACCTCTGTGTTCTCAAACAGCCGGTTGATGATTTGTTCAAGTTCAGGCTGATGATCTTCGTAAAGTCCTATTAACTTTGTGCTGCTTTCCAGGAGATCATCTAGAAGTTCTCTATCAATAACAAACAAAAATGTGAATGTAAAATAACTATGATTAACAAAAGATTTAGCTTCAAATGTGTTCAAAAAGTGAATAAATCAATAGTTACACTAACCTCTCCTCAGCAGAGAAGTCAGGACGTCCTGCCATGCTGTCATCACTGTCAGTGCTGTCCTGTTCGGCCTGAGCTCCCTTGGTTGCCATGACACATTCTGTCTTCTAGCTTCAGAATGAAGCTCTCAAGTTGGTTTCTTTAGACCAAACTCTAACCTGTACTCTTACTCCTCCTGTGAACTGATGCACTCAGGACAAATTAAGTTAGAAAGTGATTTGGAATCAGCAGGAAATGCAAGCCTTTTTACTAGACATAAAGGCCATACCTGCAAGTAATTTTGAAAGGAAAATACTTGTGTTTTATTTCCACCAATCACTGACTGCCATTTCCTTTCAGGATGGGCAATAGTACTAATTTTCTTTAATGTCATGACTAAAAGCACAATACAGGTTTGTGGCCCCTCCCTCTTCCAGGAGTTCCTTGTGAGCTCCTTGTACATATGTACTCCTCTGTTTGCTCCTTTCATGGTCTTGCATTGCATTTGTTATATGGATGGATGTTTGTGGGCTTTGTTTTTGTTCATCCCAGTAGTTTGCTAGTTTGTTTATGCCCTCATCTTTATGTTAACCTTCTGTTTTGTTTTAAAATTGAGCATTCTGCACTCATCATATCTGCCCACTCCCTGAGGATATTACTCTAGACTGCATATTACAGACAGAAAGCTGCAGTGATTACTCCAGTAAAAATTACTTTGGGAGAGCATAAACAGAATTAATTCTGTTTCAGCCAAATGAGCTCTCTAGCTTAAATATCTGCATCAAAATTATTATATGCTCAGTGTAAAGTAGTCGCAAGTGTAGAATGTATAAAATATTGCAAATTTATTTAAGACCACAAGATATAACAGCGAATATTGTCATGTCACTCCCCCTCTGGGGAGACTGACTAGGACTTTTGCAGGCTCTGCCCACTGTCCTACTCTTCTACACACCTGCAACTCCTGTTGATCTCATTAAGACTGCTACATCTACCCCTTTGTTTCCACACTGTGTTTGCAAAGTTTGTTCAGAACCTGAGTTCTGAGCCTGTTTCTTTGCCTTGATTTTTCCTGGTTTTTGACCCCTGCTACTCTCTTTGTTTTTTTCTGAGCATGGATCTGCATCATCCCCTGTCTGCCTGTGTGTTGACCCCTGCTAGCTGTAACAATGAGTATCAAAATCCCTCTAATAAAGTCACCCCGTACTTGTAATCTGCCTCAGCCCCTACATTACAAATACCAGCACAACTGAAACTGAAAGTTATTTTATTTACATGACACAGATCCAAAAAAAAATAAATGAATGTATATGGGAGGATATGGACTTCTCTTACTGTTAACTTTAGGAGGCCTAGTTTTAACACTGCATTACAACTAACCCCACTGTGTAAAGGCTGTACTTTTAGCCTGGCTAAAGCCCAGCTCTCACTGTGAGTTATTGACATTCTTCAAAATGGTGCTACATTACAGCCACCAAGATGTGGCTTTGTTTATGGCAAGGGTGCCCAATGCTGGTCATAGAGATCTACCACACTGCGTTCTGCTCCAGCCTTAATCTACCACACTTGATCCACATAATGATGGCCTTCAGGGGCATCAGAATATTAGCGCGAGGTGAATTGGATCTGAACTCTCTGGGACCAGGGTTGGACATGCCTGTTTTATGATCTGAAAACAGTCTTAAAGCAAATCTTGAAAAATATCTGTCCGATAGCTGTCAACATTCACAGTGGTTGCTATGGACATACAAGATGATCAAATCCCCCATGTTAATTTGTGCCCTACTCTTCCCTAAGTATGCATATGTACAGCTGCATGATAAATTGTATTTTTACTATTAGCACCATATGTGTTTCCACAAGTTAAACACTGTTAAGGACTATGGTGACCAAACAAATTAAATTACCCCACACACGGAGGGCCAAAGTAGCAGTGTGTGCTCGTCTTGCTATCCTTGTGAGGACTACATGGGTTAGGTTTAGGCGAAGTGTTACTTGGCTACAGTAATACAAAAATCAATAGAAATCAATCAGATATTACATATCACAGATTTGACACACGTCACATTAGGTTCACTGCCGTTTAGTGGACTGAAACCGCTCCAAACGATGGATCTGGCTTTCATTTTTGTATCTATAGCTCTGCATTCAATCCACCTCGCTGTATGATTTTGTTATCAGTGTTTTTATGTAAGAACCCAGGAAAACGTTATCGATTTGCCCATCCCGAAGAAATCAGGCCTGTACACACAGTGGGCTTTGGGAGCATGAGTTTGCAAAATTCCGGCTAATCTTATCCTGGCTCATCCTGTTACCCTCTTGCTCCTTTCTGAGTCTAATGTAGCTACAGCTGTTAATCATCTGTATCCGAATCAATCGGTCAAGGAAATTTTGCCGAATGTGAATCAAAAGACTTTCTGCCATTTTTAAGTGACCACAAAACAGACCTGCTCACAATACTCAGACGCACAAAGGAAAAATGTTACTCACTGTAGCACTGTGGTGCGTAGCACTCACGGACAGAGTTTATTGATAGCGGTTTGTGAAAGTATTCCCGAGCCCATTTAGTGATGTACATCACAGGAGCGGTTAATGCAGTGCTGTCGGAGGGGTCGAAGGGGTTGCATTGTCCTTCCGGCACAGAGATTTCTCCAGAGTCTTTTGATGAGTTTATACACTATACGTGCTGCAGGCATCAGTTTCAAGCTGATACGATAAAACATTAACTATTTTGTCTTTGTACTGTTTTTGTTCAAATCCAGTCAAAGAGTTTGTACTTAGTCTAATGTTATTAGATATTATAAAATGTTTCGTTATAAAATTCCAAAATTCTACATTGTTATGTAGTGAATTTAACTCATCATTAATATTTATTCTCTCCAAATGTACATACACCAGCCCACGTTCTGGCCCAGCAGAAAACAAAGACAACAGAGAATTTTATTCTCTCGTTCCTCGTAAAGAAATTCAATACCCATACGTCCTCAAGAGAGCTCCACCAATCAGAGACGTCGCTGTTACCATGGCTATTTAAACGGTGTGGTTTGACGCCAGAAAATCACGAAACACAGCCAAAGAACTCACATCTTCTCTCTTCACACAGCGGCGTCTGTCAGCGAGCAGCAGCAGCAGCTGTTTCACTGTCAGATGTGACGTGTTTATTAAGGGATACAGGGGAGAAGAGAGTTCGAAGGGCTGCAAATTAGTCCAACATTATTATAAATATTTATAAAACATGTATTTAAACATATAAAACACTGTAGAGACAGGATGACTGACAGATTGGGAAGTCTATGAAAAACGTAAATGCCATTGGGTGGAATGCATTTTTAAAGGCATTCTGCCACAAAAAGAGGCGAGAATATGTAGCTGTAAGGAGAGGCGCTGTTTCCCTTAAACGTTTGAATTTTTACGTCTTTCTAGCTTGGTGTTCACTTTGATAATGCAATTTCAAAAACATTATTAGAGAGCGCAAATGCATAGTTAAAGTACATTTTAATTATCATTTGGACACCATTATTGCTTAATCATATAAGGTATGAATATGCAGTTCTGGAAATACAGTTCAATTTAAATAAAGCTGAAGTGTTTAAAAATTGTGTTAAAAACATGTTAACAGTAGTATACCAAGTCTGGAGCGTATATCTGGAGCGTATGACTTTGTATAAATCACAACCGTTCAATCCCACTGACGTGACCTCGCTCTTATTGGGCGACGGAGATGCCAATCATGTTGCGTGATTATCAGGAATGGCGCGAACAGAGAGATTTGCGTGACACCTTTTATCCGCCAGCCTGATTCACAGCGACGCTGAGCTGTAAAACGAAACTGAAAGAAAAGTCCGCCTTCTCAGAATACGAGGAAGACAAAGCATGGCTCTCTGCGCTCACTCAGGTACGTTTACATTTAAAACTCTTTTCCATTATATTAGGAAATGGGAGCTATAATCAAATCAGCCTGTGTAGTTTTAGAATACAGTGTCTCTTTCGTGAGTGTTGCCACCTACGATCTGCAGTCCAGTTGCAACAAAATGGTGGAAATATTGCACCTTTATTTCACAGATAATACTGTTGGTTCTATTTAGAATGACACGACGGACGTGTACATGCTTTTTAATGTAGTGAAAATTCAGTTCGATTTTATTTGCACGTTTACAGACGTACTAACAGTAATAGCGGTGGCATGTACAGACTTCGAGGGCAGGGCCTGAGGTGTTTCAAAAGGGCCTTTTGTGGCTGCACTTCTGGATCAGTTCACATCAGGATATTGTGATATTGTGGTGTTCTGTATGCAGGTCTGATTTCAGTAATACAAATATAGTGTAACGTTATATTCAAGTCCATTTTTCTTGTTGTAGGAATCATGAACAGACCTATTCCCAATAAATTCCCTATTTAATAAACCTGGTCACAGTGTAAAATATTTAAACACTTTATTCAACCAATTATCAAATTTAGCTCATCAGTAAGATGTATTATTTTTATTAGTGTTATTATATGTAGTATTATCCAGAAATATAAAACAATAAACACTATACGTATCATCTACATCTGTTTTTTGCAGCCAGGTTGTAAAAGGTGCTGAGAGCTTGAATGTAAATATCAAAACATTCTCAATAATCTTAACGATATGTGACTTGATGATCACTAATCAAAGTCAGATTTGAAAAAAATATATAGCAAATCATATATATATATATATATACATTGCTGCTGTCGGAACAAAACCTTGTATCTCCAAAATGGTAACTTTACAGGAGAAGGAAAAAACATACATTACTTTCAGTGTAAGTCAATGGAACCAGACTTTTTTCCAAGTAATTTTTAGCCATTTATTTTAGTCCATTCTTCATGAAACACACCATATAGGCCAACATCCAGCCACACAACCCCTGCTGATGGTGACCGCACCACACATACTTACCACCCCACAGCAGAGTGCCCATGAACACAAGCAAAATATATAAACATAATCTAAACTAACAACACAGACATTGTGCGCCTACCACGAGCCTCCTTGTGTGGCCACCCACATGGTCCTCAGAAGTCAAGATCCTCAGAGCCAGCAGACAAGAAAATGAACAAGACAAAGAGTGTATATATACACAGCTTTACTTCATAGATTACTGTCACTTCTGGCTCAGAAATTGTTGCATGAAGTTTCTTGGACTCAGGAACGTGGCTTTCACTTAGCTAAAGAGGAGGAGAAGCATTCAGCCCCGAGAACACCATCCTCATGGTAAAGCATGGTGGTGGGAATATAATGCTATGGGGGGGAGGGCAGGCAGCCTTGCCAAAGTAAACAGCATCATGAGAAAACAGACCTCATTTGGAAGAGGAAGAGATCAAGCAGTTTGCAGAAAAAACTTTGCTTTGGGCAGCAAGACAATGATCCAAAACATACAGCCAAAGTGGTCAAGAAATGGTTAACAGAAAACAATATCAGTATTTTTGGAGTGACTCAGCCAGTATCCAGACCTGAATCAAAAGAGGGGTGGTCCAAAATCCCAGTGGAGACATGCAAAAAGCTTGTTAACAATTATAAGAACCATTATTGGTGTGATAGCACATAAGGGCTCTGCTATTGATAACTGAAAAAGGTTAAGAGTAAATTTGAACATGACATTTTTGTAGAAATGTAAAAACAAACATGGAAGTAGTTAATCAGAGTTTTTCAGTTATATCTCTAGCACAATGTCTTACCATCTTTTGTCATTTGTTTATGTAATTTCCAGCCAGAAGAAACCTATTGATCAAATAAAAATTCACTATAAATCAATGAGCATGATTAATTTTAGGCTTAACTGTATGTAGCAAACTACTTCATCAGTTCTATTATGTAACTGTTATAACTTAATTACTTTATTACTTTTATCATTTTGTAAATAAATGTAAATACAAACTGAATGCTATGATTTGCAAATCTCATATACCCATATTTTATTCACAATAGAACATAGAAAAAATATCAGGTGTTAAAAGTGCGACAATTTACTTTATCATAAAAAAACATTAACTTATTTAGAACCTGATGGCAGCAACGCATCTGAAAAAGGTTGGGACGGGGTAACAAAAGGCTGGAAAAGTAGGTACTAATAAAAAAACAGCTGGAGGAGCAATTTGCAACTAACTGACTGGGTATGAAAATAGCATTTTAGAGAGGCAGAGTCGCTCAGAAGCAAAGATGGGCAGAGGTTCACCAATCAGCAAAAAACTGCATCTAAAAATTGTCGAACAACTTCAGAAAAATGTTCCTCAATGTAAAATTGTGAAGACTTTGGATATCCCACCATCTACAGTACATAATATTTTCAAAAGATTCAGAGAATCTGGAGAAATCCCTGTACGCAGGCGACAAGGCCAACAGTCAATATTGGAAGCTCATGATCTTCAGGCCCTCAGGCATCACTGCATTAAAAACAGGTATGATTCTGTACTGGAAATCACTGCATGGGCTCAGGAACACTTCCAGAAATCACTGTCTGTGAACACAGTTCACCATTCAATCCACAAATGCAACGCGATCCAGAAATGCTGCTGCCTTCTCTGGGCCAATGCTTATTTAAAATGGACTAAGGCAAAATGGAACACTGTTCTGTGGTCAGATGAATCAAAATCTGAAAATCTTTTTGGAAACCATGGATGCTGTGTCCAGTGGACTCAAGAGGACAGGGACCATCTGGCTTGTTATTGGTGCACAGTTTAAAAGCCTGCATCTCTGATGGTGTGGGGTTGCATTAGTGCATATGGCATGGGCAGCTTACATATCTGGAAAGGCTCCCATCCAGACAATGTCTCTTTCAGGGAAGGCCTTGCATATTTTTGTAAGACAATGCTAAACCACATACTGCATCCATCACAACAGGTCCGGCAAAGAAGACCCAGGACTATTGAGCAGCTAGACTCCTACATCAAAATGGCACAACATTCCTCTCCCCAAACTCCAACAATTGGTCTCCTCACTTCCCAGATGTTAACAGACTGTTGTTAAAAGAAGAGGGGATGCTACACAATGGTAGACACGGCCCTGCCCCAACGTTTTTAAGATCAGTTGCTGCCATCAAGTTCTAAATAATTAATGTTTTTCATGAAATGGTAAAATGTCTCACTTTCAACATCTGATATGTGTTCTTTGTTCTATTGTGATTAAAATACGGGTCCCTGAGGTTTGCAAATCATTGCATTCTGTTTTTATTTATATTTGTTTACATTTTACACAGTGTCCCAACTTGAACTGGGGTTGTATTTATCATTTATTTAACTGAAAATTAGGGAAAATTGCATTTTTCAAAAAAAAATCTGCAGGGATATTTTACCTGTTTCTTGTAAACACCTCCAGAGTTCAGTCTTAGTTGCATTTTCTGCTTCTCATGTCCAGGAGGCTTAATCCAAAACACATTGATTGATGTTGAGGTCTGGACTCCATTATTCAGACAACACCAGCAGTGTCTTTGTTAAGTACGTCTTGATCTCAGAAATGTGCTTGGGGTTGTTATCTCACTGTAGAATAAATTTCTTCCCAATCAAAAATCTCTGTCTTCACTGGCTGTTGGTGAAATCCATTCAGAGTCATTACCTACTATAAGTTTAAAAAAGGAAATGTTTGATATACTGTAGGCTAGGCTAGCCTCAGTATGCTAATTTGTTTGTAAAGAAAACTTTTTCATTTTTGTAGAAGCCTGAGAGTGCCATACATAAACTCTGAGTGATTTCTCTGGATGAAGCCTCTGTTTAGAATAGGGTAGCCCATGAATAAATCAGACTGGTTTGTCACATTCTAGTGTGTTTTTTGTGTTTTTAAAACGTGGATAGTTGTCTGTTTATTTTACATTTTCTTGTTTTCACATTTTCTTTTATTACCATTAAAGCCTAAATTAAAAATAAAACAATAACAAAACAACTAATTGTTTATTCATTGTGTCTTATATAGGTCAACTGATGCATAAAACAGATGAAGAGGCATATTGTGTCGTCCCTGAGCTCAGTGTGGCCACCAGCTCATTTGCAGTATCCTGTGAGCCCTGCAGCTATATGTAGTGGTGAGTTTAATGTCGCTTTAATGTTACTAAAGTTAGTGGTGTTGTTAACTAAAAGTGTGCAGCTGCTTGTGTCCTGCAATGTCATTACATCACAAACTTAAAAAACAGAGGCTACTGTCACACTGGGGAGACCCAGTGAAGATGACATGAAAGTTAAATCAAACAGCTGATGTGCGAAGACAGCAATCTTAAAAACCTAAACCTAAGCATATTACCAAGGCAGGCATGAAATATGTTTATGGTCTATTTATGTCTTACCTGTGATGATTTGATGCACAAAAGTTGCACTTAATGTTTGCTTTGACATTTTCTTAAACACCATGCCAGCTTGTTTTCAGCTTTGGACGGGAAGAAAATGATATACTTTAAGGTGCAGATATACTTTTAAACGTCACCAGTTAATCTTCAAATTTAAATTCGAGCTTCAGGGGAGCTTCAAATTGAAATACTAGTGCACAGATAATGAACTGAATGCTTGAAGCAAATGTGATGAACTCTCTAGAGCAGTCTGTTGTGTCAGCCAATACTTAATTAGATAATATTGTGGCCAGAATCAGTCGTGCTAATCGCCTAAGGCTGGCATTTGGCTTTTAATTAGAATTTCCGTTCCACCTCAAAAAGTCCTGCAGTTGCACGCTACTGTACGTTCAGGCGTCTGAACGTAACATCATTTAAGGTGGAATGGGAAATTAAGCTAACTTCAGCTTCATGTAATCTCTATCCACAGTACGAGTCTCAGTTACATTTAGCTAAGGGGGGCTGTATTACTTGAGAGGGGGGCTGCTGGTTTAACCTCTAAATTACCACAGATATACACTTGGATGTAATGGAGTGTGAGTTTGTGCTTATGTAGCTACATGAGCTTATTCATTAGCTCAAAACAGATCGATAAACAGATTGAACAGATTGATTAAAAAACAAAGTAACAAGCCTGTTTTGAAAATGTTTTGAGTAAAAAAATACAGATTTTCTTTTGAAAAGTAGTGAGTAAAAGTAAAAGCTATTAAAAGACAGAAATATTACTAATTACTAATATTAATAAAAAACTGCTTAAGTAATCTGGGCTTGGGACTTGAACTGGGCTTGCATGAAGCGACCTGAACATCTCTGCTGAGTAATGACTTTGAGCCTAACTTTGCTTATGTATCTACACACAGGTTGTGAAGTTAACACTTTCCTCATTCATCCAAGGACTTATCTAATAAGGGGTAGGGTTGAGTAGTGTAGTGTAGTGTAACTTCAGTAGTGTATTTAGTTTATCCTGCCATAATCACTCTCAGATTGGGGCTACAGCAGCAATATTAATAATGAAAATCACTTAAAGTTTGGTCATTTTTGTACCTTTTTTAATAGATCTTCCAGCCAAACTAGATTATGGCTGCAAAGGCAACTCAGAGAGCAGAGGAGGACAGCACTGACAGTGATGACAGCAACAGTGGAGGACGTCCAAGCTTCTCAGCTGAGGAGAGGTTAGTGTGATTATTAACTTATTCACTGAACTCAATCTGAGGCTGAACTGTTTGTTTGTGATAATTCCATGCATATTTTTGTGTGTGTGTTCATGACAGACCAATTCTAGATAAAGTCCTGAGGAACGGCAACGAGTTTATAAGATCTTATGAAGAACATCAGCCTGAACTCCAACAACTCATCAACCAGCTGTTTATGCACACCGAGGAGGTTTTAGGTTATTACAACAAAGTAATAGAAGCACAAAGAAGACTAAGAGGAGCTCAGTACGGAGCAGGATTTGGATTAAGTCTTGGAATTGGAGCTTTTGCTGTAGGTGTCTCACTGTTTTCTGACGCTGATGATTTTTCATTGCCTGTGGCAGGAATGGGAGCTTTGGCAACTGTTGTTGCTGGAATAGCAAGCTACAAAACCAAACAAAGTACAAAAAAAATGAAGAACATATTAGAGAATTTCAAAAACGTTTCAAAACATTTCAATACAACAGCTGAAGACATCACCAGCTGCCAGAAGAAATTTGGTAACCTTGCTGAGAAGATGCTACAGTTAATAAACAAGTTTCCTTTGCAAAAACATGAGAAAGAAGATGTCAGAGAGCATATAGATGCTTTATTAGAGCTTGTTAAAGTTTTTAGGCCAGAGGATGTGCTGAGATTGTTAAAAGAAAAAAGTACTTTGGATTGGAGAAAAAACATTCAGCAGTTTGTTTCTCCTGTACCTTTTATAAGTGAAGGTAGCAAGACAAAACAAGCCTCCAAGACAAAACCAGTCTCCAAGACAAAACCAGCCTCCAAGACAAAACGAGGCTCCAAGACAAAAAGAGGCTCCATGCAACTGCAATCCGAAGCAGAACAGCTTGATTGGAAGATGGGAGAAATGACAAATCATTTGCAGAGAATCTTAAAAGAAACTATGACTTCAAATTTGGAGATAGAAAGGGTGATGCAAAAGCTTAATGAGCACATTAAACAGTAGACAGAAACACACAGAGGAGCCGCAATTGTTTAACACCTCAGTGGACCTAAATCTGTTTTCTTTTTAAATAGGTTAATCTTGTTCAGGTGGGAACACAATATACATGTACAAAGTATGTGCTAACTTGCCAATGTCCACTAAATGGTTGATGTATTTTGACAATATTGTCCACTCTAAATGTAATCTGGGCAGTAATCTTGGGTATTGCACACATAAGAAGTTTCTTCACCAATCACAAGGCTGATATTGTCCCGAATACTCAACTTTAACAAATCTGTGTTAGCAAAGGGTTTCCTTTTCTCAGTTCAAGTCAGTGAAAATTACCACGGGAAGTACCAACTAGCAAAAAACTGAGCTATCAATAACAGTGATTCATTTAAAACGGCCACGCCAGCATTCCCTGGGTGCACATCCTGCAGTAAAGTGAATAAGAAGTTTACCTTCTTTATCATGTTGTCTGAATCAACTTAATCCTAATAGAAATATAGAAGTGGATGATGATGGAAATCCTGTGGAATTTGATAAAAACCGTGAGCCATTCAAGGTAATTTTCTATTGCATGTGTATATTTAGATACTGGCTAATTTGGTTAACATGTATTTTGGTAGGCCTTTTCAGTGTCAGTGTGCAAAAACAGTACTGTAGTGTTTAATGTCTTTTGGCTGTATTGGCCAATAACTTTAGGTGCTGTAATCCTAATACACACAGGAGTCCAGTTTGGGCTGTTACTGCAAAGACTGCAGTACAGGCAAACTTTGAGGATAAACCTTGAGACTTGATAGCAATGCATTTCTCTCTGCTTCACTCGTGCTGATGTGATCAGTTCTGTTTCAGTGGCCTAGCAGGCTGAGAGTGGTAGACTGAGGGCTGTCAATCATGTGCGCTCATCAGAATATTAGGACCACAGCCAGACAGTTCTCACATCTGTTAAGCATTTTTTAAAGCCAGGTTTTATCATATTTCTAAATCTGGTGTGATCCACTGCACTAATCTAACTAAGTCTGTGTTTGAGTCTGTTGAAGTTACATGTCTGTGTTTTTTTTTCTGCAGCATTACAGCATGTTTGATTTGTTCAAAATAGCATCACATTCTTGAAAGAGGTTTCCTTGTCTACTCATTTTCATGATTTTTTTTGTGACCATTATCTACATTTTTGTGATGTTTTTATAATGAACTTGCAGAGAAAGAATGATGCTGGTCTTTTCTTTTGAGAGGTTTTTTTTTAATTGCTGTGTTCTTCTGTTCTGTTTGAGTTGGGGGGACTAAATTCAGTATATTTGATGTCAGATCTATTTATCAGTCAGAGTTAGCAATATGTATATGTCAGCTACTCACATTGCTATCCCTCATGTAAAGTGACTGCTCTCCCGCTGCTCCAGCCAGCCAAAACTCCCAGCAAGTGTGTTATTGAAACTTTTTAAATTTGTAAATGGTGCTTCTTATAAAGGTTTATTACACCATTGTTTGTATCATAGCTAGATGTTGCTTCCTACTTGGGTTAGCCACTTACTGCTGACTCTTACTGTAAAAGATCGACTTAATTTATGAAAGCATGATAGACAGTGGTCCACCTTAACTGTAGGAATGAAATGATGCATGAACTACCCCCCTTACATTAAGGCTCACAGTGTTTCCCACAATTGCGCTTTACAGGTGTAACACAGTAAGGCATGTGGGAAATTTCTTCTCAGTGTCTGTAAATATGATTGTGCTGACTCATAACAGGAGCTTGTGCGAGCTCAGTTTCAGGAGCACGGTCAAGCAATTAGCTATAGGTGACAGATAAGCTAAGTACTGCTGTGCATTCAGATCTCAGACACAATATTTCACTGTGTGAATGCCTACCTGTCATAAGACAACAGCCTGAGCTACCAGGCTAAAGGACCAAGGGAAACCTAACTAGTGTGTTGAATTGGCAATGACTAAATTAGGACAAAAAATGGGTAAATATTATTGCCAGCAATGTTCCTAATGCTACACTGATGTGTGTTAATGCATGATGTTGTAAATTGCTGTTGTCAGAACAAAACCTTGTATCTCCACAATTCCAACTTCAGAGGAGAAGGAAAAACTTGCTTTATTTTTAATGTAAGGCACTGAAACCAGAATGTTTGTCATTTTTGGCCATTTTTCTGGTCCATTCGTCATGAAATTTACACACAGTGTAAAGGGTAACAGGTACTTTCAAATCATGTCAAAAACTGAAAAATTACAAAAATGGAGATACAAGGTTTTGTTCCCACAACAGTGAAATGTTGTTGGTAATTGCTGTGAAGAGTTTTGTTAGAGGGAATAAAATGCTGATTAAAGAACTAACAGTTGGAGAGTCATTAATAAATGATCTGCCATACAAGTTTTTATGAGAATAGAAGAAACCAAAACCACAAAATAAGTCATAGTCTGAAAGGGAATGTGACTGATCTCAATGCTAACTAATGACGGCAGAGCAAGTGAAAGTGGTTTGATTTAAAATCTGAGGCTGAAACATTTTGTGTGTAAGCTCAAGTACACTTAAGACAGTTGTAATAAAATTAATAATTGATTTTTAAAGTGAAAGACATCCTTGAAGACAAGGTCGTCACTCTGGTGCTGTTGGGTAAAAGCAGATTTTAAATGCAGCGATGGAAAAGGCAGTATTGGACAACAGAGGAACTTTTCTTATTTTAGTCATAAACAAACAGGGAACTGATAGGAATTTTAGTCCCCTTGAAAGTTTTATTAATGAGCCCATTCATGCATTTTATTTACCTTAACAGAACCTGTCACAATATTAAAACATGTCAAATAATAACCCTGTTTTATTATTTCTCCATATTTCCAATTCCTACCTTCTCCATGCTGTCATCTATATCATGCAGCTGTTAATATGAATATACTTACACTCCAGAAAAAAAGTCACTGGGGTGGCACTGTCAAAGGTCTTTAGTTAGGGATCAAAACTGCACCATGTTCACTTGCAAAAGATCTTTTTTAAGATACATTGTTGCACCTTAAAACCATTGTATCTCTGAAGGTAAATTAACATTGTTTAGACTTTGATGGACGTAAAATGTACCTCACAGTGTATGACTGCATATTTCTGACAGTGTATGACTGCATATCAATAAACTCTATGTAACTGTCCGAAAGTGTTTGTTGCTTCTCAGATTGTTGCATCCTGACAGTTGAAGCTGGTTTTGACTGTTATAGGCCATAAACATTGTTCAAAGGCAATAAAATCTCCACAAACAAATGTGTCCAGCTGGGGATCATTATCCAGCTGTGGATCATGAAATTCATTGGTAGCATAATAGAGATATACTACTTTTAATCCTTTATGAGAACTTTATGCAAAATGTTGTACTATTGATTTTTTAGACAGCTCCGTCACATCATTTCCATTTAATAAATGCAGTTACACTTTATAAAATTGTGGAAAATGACTGTATTATACAATTTCAACACTTTCTTTCGAAATGCAGCTTGAGAAGCACGTTGAGGAACATCAGTTTTACTACATTATAAAGTACAACATGTAAAGATATACAGGTAAATACGGTGTACTATATTTTTCAGTCAATAAATAAAAATATATTAATAAATAACAGGGTACAATAAATATACAGTTTATATGTCTATTATTTAGTTGGTACGTCATCAATATTTAGACAGTATTGTTAACATGGTATCTGATTCATTGTCCTGTCTGAATATGTGATTGTTCTCTAGATGAGTCTTTTGTCCAGATTTGAGGACGTCATTATGACATTCAGGTGTCAAATCAAACTGTGGAGTATCCAGTGGTGGAGGAACAAAACAAACCCATCACTGGAGTAAAAGTAGAAATACACTGATATGATATTACAGTTTAAAGGTAAATGTTTATCATCCTAAAGTCCATTTAAAGAAGGAAGTTTTAAGGTTGCCTACTTTAACTGAAAATTCACTGAGATCAAAAGTTAAAGTAAATACATAAGTTACAGAATTGATTCTGCATTTAAACACTGCAGTTACCAAAATCCATGACCTTCCACTTTTTTTGCCCCAAAACGTCCAATCACATGAAAATACACCTACAAAAATAGAAGGATTAAAGATGACTGCTTACTTTCACAGTGTAGAGAAACGAATGTCAGTTTCCTGTACATTATGCATTATAACATAACTGACACTGTGCACCTTTAAAAAAGAATCTGATCCTGAAAAAAATGGAGGTAAAACAGTTTAATAACATAAAGCTCAAACAGAACGTGTCCTTGTTCTGCTATTAGCTGATGGTTGTATAATGAGTTGTGGTTGTCTGTCGCCCCCTATTGGAGATTTCTGAGATTGCGTGCTAACCTGAACATGCAGATCAAACTTTTTCCAAACCCTCACTAAAGTTAAATTAAGAAACTGTCTGAGAGGAAGAATCTGACCTCAGTTTCTTATCTAGGCCCATGATTAGCTTAGACTGAGTATCTATTATAAATCTATCTAAGAGATGAAGACTAAAAACTGTAGGAGAAAGTTAACATCTACATTGTTTACTTTTCTCCTACAAGGGTGCAGAACATCTCTTCTGAATACATTTTCTCTGGAGAAGCTGCCAAATTAGCCAAGCATGATTCCTGAAGCAGAATGATGAACTGAATAAGCTGAAAATCTACTACGATTTACTGCTAGTAGTATTAATTACAGACTAAACACATAAAGGTAATATAATTCTAGGATAAAAGATAAAGATCATAGTTCTTTGTATTGAGATTTATTTAAAAGAAAAAGTTTCTGGTGTTCAGTGCAGAGGCAGTGTAGTGTGGGATGATGGTCAGGAAGCTTGTTGAGTTTCTTGTGCTTCTTGCCAGATTCAGCTCTAACACAGTGCAGCCAGCAGAGGAGCCTGTAAAACAGAATGGAAGAGAACACAGTGTTAAAGGAAAGAAACTGAACAGCATTTCTTCACATTTACAATTTCACTTTGCAGACAGATCTAAAAACACTGTCACAGGAAATCTGTGCTTCTCTCAGTTTTCACTTCAGTGAGCACAAATGTTTAAATGCACTAAATAAACCTTCATTTGTAAACTCACTTCCTCTAGCACTTCCTCCTTCTGCCTGTTTTCCTTCCCTGATCCTTCCTGTCCTTCCTCTTCTCAGCTTTCTGCTCAGCTTCATCAAAGTCCTCAAGCTCTTTTCTGAGGTTGATCTTAAAGATGGGCATCTGAGAGGCAAAGAGAGAAATTTCAGTACGACTGCTGAAGTTATTCCTCACTGAATTTAAACACTGAGACTTCACAGCCCCCCTGCATACCTGTTCAGGAACAGAGAGAGGGGCTTCTGCTGAGACCCTTCGGCTGGTAGCTCTCCTGAGAGCAGGTGCACCTGAACGTTTCAGAGCAGCAGTAGAGACGGTGGTCTTGTTGATGGCGGCCCAAACCCTTTCCTTTGGCTCCACTGTGTCTTTCTTGACTTTTGCCTCGGCCTGAATTTCTGCACCATCATTTTTCACCTCCGTCCTGCCAGCTTCATCTTCAGGGCTCAGTGCGAACTCTACCAGCTTACTGAGTCTTTTTTCTCTGGCACTGAGGACTTTATCCTGTGTTCTCTGCACACTCTTCACAAGCTCCATCCCTTCTTTGTCCCTGGTCAGCTCAAACCAAGGGTCAGCTCTCCTGTTAGCCCTCCTTATTCTGTCTGCCTCTGCCCAAGGACTGTCCTCCCTCACCGGCTTCGACGGGCCTCCTGTCCACACCCAAGGGACATCTTTCTTACTGGAAGCAGGACGCTTCCGGAAAACTGGAGGAAATAACTTCATATTGTCCTCCCTTGTCAGTCCAGTGGTGTCCATTCCAGGGCTGCTCTCTTTCCTGCTTGCTGCTCACTTTCATATAGTTCTTGCTGTCCATTCTGAGACACTAAAAACTGTGTTATTATTTAATGGAAAACCTAAAAACGATAGAAAAAAGAATAAATGGCAATAAAAGAACGAATCCCAGCTCGAATTGCGCTCGCTAACGTGAACGTTTCTGTAACTTCACTACAGAAATGTGATCCTATCTGCGCGCTCTGCTGCCTTTTATACTATTTTACAGGGGTGACGTCATAGCAATCTATTATGACGTCACATCAATCTATGTAATGCTGCAGACCTGGGCAATAGTGGGCGGAGTCAGCGGGGATAATACCTGCCAGTCATTTTCGACTGCTGCCAATCAAATCACACGTTTGTTCTGATTTAGCCAATCAGCAGTCGGAGTTACTTGTCCATCATTTTCTGCCGCGGACACGCGCCTTAATAGTGAGCGCGCTCCAGTTTCCGCCCCGCACATGTGCCGGTTGTGCCGTGTGGGCGTGGCTTCCACTCCGTTTATAAGCGTCATATAATAACAAACACCAGGCGGGAAATCAGGACAAACCCTGTGAAGAACTGTAGAATAGAAATGAACTGATGTCGCTCACGCTTGTTTTTCGAGCTGAATAAAGACAGATAAACGGTTTCTGGTGACTTTTATTGTAAACTGTAGATAAACTACACCAGAGTTTCTGTAGGAGCCGCTAGAAGAGCCGCCGACTCTCCATTTAAACGGGTTTCTCCGCCTCTGCAGCTCCGAAAAAAGAGGAGAGCCGCTGTTGGAGCAACTAAACTAAACTGTCCTGCTGCAAATTTCAGCCTGTTATCAGACAGGACGATAAATCAGACACTGAGTTAACACTATGAATCTCCTCCTCTACAACAGCATCACTGAAAACACACACAGACTGAGGTTTAAAGAGAGGAAGTGTGTGAGAGATAGAGGCCAGTTCTGAAGCCCAAATCAGCCTTAAATACTGTTTTATAACTTTAGAAACTCATCTGACCCAATGAAGTCTTTATAAAGCGTTATATCTCCCTGAGAGACGCGTTAGAAATCAACAATCTGATTGGTCGCCGCTTAGCTCATTTACATAAAGTTCGTCCAGAATGTGAGAGCAGAGATCAGAGCATCAGCGATCTGACGGGTCAGTTATATTTGTATACAAGGTAATAAACAATGTATTTTTATTTACTGTAAGATGTGCAGCATAACAACAAGAACTGGTCCTTCAAGTCGCTCTAAACACGGACATTCTTAATCTTTAAAAAA